TAAACTATAAAAATTTGTATTACATATGATTTTCTTAAATCCCTACCAGTTCTACGACAGTACCACAACACTTCTCTGGCATTTTCATAGTTTCTTAAATCACAGGTGATTAGCATATCATGTGGATTTGAAAAATGGTCAAGCCACCATTATTATTCGATTAATTATTTCATTAAATCAAATTAATTATCCTTCGTTATAATCAGAATACATCATTTGATATTTTCATAAAACCAGCCCTAATTTTTATGAAGTTCTCTCACCAATTTAAACATATCTTCTTCTACTGAGTGGTCTGATGCTAATAAAGATGGACACCATAATTAAAAAGTTGCAACTTGGTAAGTTGCAACTCCTTGTAAATTTATTTTAATATAAAAATTCATAAATAGTTGCAACTCAAATGTTGCAACTTAAGTTGCAACTAGTTAAAAATTTAAAAATAATTATGAGAACCATCTTTAGACGCTCAGCTTCATCTTCTTATCAACGAACATAAACAAAGAAATTCTAAATATCATACCATCCCAAATAAGAAGAAACAAAATTTTTGGAATGATATTGCTTATAAGCTTAATAAACAAGAGAATACCAACTTTTTCCTAGGTAAAAACTATCACAATAAGTTCTTAAACCTTATGAAAGCTTTTAATGTAAGTAGACCTATTTGGATAGCTTCTTCAATCTATTGTAAAATAACAGCATTCTATTGATTTTCATTTTCTTTGGTATTTAGCTTTACTTTAACTTTTTCTCTTTTTTTCTGATTATTATTATTATTATTATTTATAACATTTTCATCATTACTTACTATTATTAAATCCTCTTTATTATTAGAATCATCAGCAATTAGAGTTGCAATATGAAGCCGTCTTATTTGCTGATCAGTTTGTATAATTTCTTTAATTTGACATTAATATAAAATATCACTACAAATTTTATTTATTACAAGAACTTTTGTATGCTAAATAAAAATAAAATAAAAATAAAAAAAATAAATCCAAGTTTTTTTTTAAATAAAATAGTTTAATTTTTCTAAATATAGTATTAAATTAGTACAGTTAAACCTTAATATAACGAACCCTTGATATAGCAAATTTTTAAATTAAATATATTAAAATTACCTTACTATAGTGAACTAGCCAATTAAATTCTTTAAAAAATTCGTTATAAGCTTATAATGAAATTGATATCCAGATCCTAGAATTCATTATATCAAGAGTTCACTGTATTTACATCTAAACAATTTTGCCTATTAGTATAAAAAACCCATTAATGACTATAAACGTTCAACTGATACAGAATTAACACAAATACCATGAATATAAATAGTTACTTTTGCTAATTCTGATCAATTCCTATTGTTGATTCCCAAAAATCTAATATATTTCCTTGAAATTGAAGAAAAGAATCATTATCATATAGATCATCTTCTCTTTTGTAATTAATTAATTCTGCTAAATTGTTCTAGCCAGAATTCCAAAAAAGCAAGATAATAATATTTTAATTATTAATCGATATATATTCATGTTAAATTGTTTACTGTTGATCAAAATTTTGATATTTTATAGATAAAGAGCAATATAAAGTAATAAAAGTGGCTGTTTCCAATCCTTCTATCTATTCTCAATTCTAAATTTATTTTTTCTGAAAAATCTGAATCATGATATTCTGAAAATATTTTTGTAACATATGCCAAATAATATATTACCTCATAAAGTCTTGCAGTATCTTTTTGTAATTTATTTAAAAATCCACATAAAGGATACAATAAATTTTGTAAAAAAAATAATGTTTGTCAAAATTCTGAATCATTAATATTATCTGCAATATCATCAGGTAATTTTCGTTCTCTATTACTTCTTTTTGATTATTTATCAACTGCACTATTAGAAATACCATTTGTATAAATAATATTGATATGTTCTAAATTAAAATTTGCAGATAAAAACTAATATTATTATAAAAAATTTAAAATTTTATTAATAAATTATAATAATTAAGGTAAATAAAATTAAATAATTAATTAATTACCTTTAAGGTGAATTGAGTTTTTAAAATTGAATAAAAGCAAAAATAATATGAATTCTATCTGATATTATCAGGTGATACTAATTTAATTGTCTTTTTATAAATTCGTTCCTGTTCATCTTTTAAATTTCCTGTAAAAAATGTAGAGTTATGAAAATAACTAACAATTTGAACTGCTTTCTTAGAACTTTTTAAAATATTGCACTCTCTTTAAATATATCACCAAATACTAAGTTCATTTAATATGTTATACAAGAAAGAAATATTTTTGTAGTATATTTTCGTCTTAATTATTTTCTATTAGTAATTAAAATATTATAAATAAAATAATATATATTATATATATATTTTTTTAATTTCTTATCTTGCAGCAGCATATTCTTTAGCAGAATCTGATACAAATATTTTAATATTAACATTTTTTTATTTTTTGCATCATCTATTAATTGTTCAATATGTCTTATAACATATTCAGTTTTTGATCATTTAAAACTTATTTTTTGAGCATTCCAAATTAATAGTTGTCTTTTTGAAGTAATTAGTATACATTCCAAATATTTCTTGCTTTATATTTGTCCATCCATTAAATGTAGCAGTTAACTTATTGTAATCTGATTGTGTTACTTTCAGTATATTTTCTTGAAACTTTCTGATATTTTTAATAAAATTTTTCCACCAAGCTTTTTGCGATTTGGAAGTTTAAAACCAAGAGTAATAAAATTAAACACTGCTTGAGTTTCTTCATTTATTACAAAAAAAAAAATTGAAATACACATTTTAACCATTAATGTTTCAAATGTAGATATATTTTTATGAGACATAGGTCTATTACACAAATTAATTTAGGTTGATTGTGAAGCTGTATTAGATGAATTTAAAGTAAAATATTTTTGATATTTAGGAGGAGATGTATTTTCATCATCAATATTTTTAATATAAAAAAAAGTTATATTATATTACTTTTATAATTATTATTATAAAATTAAATTATATACTTAATTTATTTAACTTTCGTGAAACTGGATAAGATAAAATTTCTTCTACTTTTTCACTTGTATAAGCATCTTTAAATTGAATATAATTTGCTAAATAAGTATGATACAAATTTGCTTTATTAGTTGTATAATATTCTGGTATCAATGCTGCTGCTTGGATTCCTCTATTTTTTAAACTACAAAAAATGCATACTGCTTTTGCATTAGATTTATTATTAGGATTAGGAACTAAACTAAAAAATTTCAAAATTTATGTGGTTTTGGCATTTTTAAAAATGTAAATTTGTATTCATAGAAATTTAATGATTATCGAAAAGTCTATCATTTTTAAATTACACTTGATTAATTTTAATTAGCTAATTAAAAATTATATGATAAAATGACAAATGATCTAAGGTCATATTATATAACTATTAGTCATGTAAGTCATATGACATGTGACGTAAATATATGATAAATGATAGGTCATTCTTAACTTGATCCACCGGTTCAGATGCTTATCCTGAACCAGTCAAATTTGATTGGCTAATTTCAATCAATAAAATCAATAAAACATTTTTTTTACTTAGCTATACGACTTTATATATACATAATAATACATATTAAAAGTTTTTTACCATATCTCTTTTACTTATAAAAATATTGTAAGTATTATTTATAACTACAACTATTTAAATATAAGAAAATATAAATATAAAGAGTAAAAATTAATTGTGTAAACTCGTTCTTTAATATTTTTTTAATAACTATGAATACTTCTGAACCTGATCTATAATAATCTCCTGAATTACAATTTCAGATATATTTAAAAACTATGAAGAATTTGTAGCAAAAGTTTAAAATTACACGTCATATTGCAATTTTTAGATACAGTTGAGTAAAGTAGGTCATGATAAAGAGAAAAATATTATAAGAAGAATAATCTTATGTTTATTTCTGAAAGTAAAGAGAATAAAGTCAACTCAAGAGATCATAAATCTCAAAGATGTAACTGTCTATTTTTTATCAGAGTTTTATTTGATAATAATAGTGGACTTTGGCATATTTTAGCTATGAATTTGAAACATAATCATGAAATAGTTGCTTCTGAATACAAAATATTTCTTAGTAGTGAAAGAATAATTCCTCAAAAAATTAAAGATTGAATTATAGTTTATCATCAAGCAGGCTGTAATATACCAATTATTCGTTCAATTCTCAAGCAAGAATATAAAGACTTAGAAATATAGATCTATAATGATATTTATAATTTCATATATCAGTTAAATGGTAAACAAGAATAACGTTTTTTGAAGTAGAAGAATTTATAAATATCTTAAAACAACTTAAAAGAGAAATTAATGGATTTGAATACGAAGTTAGAGTTGATGTTGATATAAATGAATTACTTCAAGTAATTTGAATGTATCCTGATCAAAAGTGATATTATAGCAGATTTTAGATGTTATTATTTTTTGATAACATATATAAAGTTAATAGGTTTAATATACCATTTGGAATTTTTATTAGAATAAACAATTTTGGTCAAAATGTATGCTTTGCTAGAACTTTAATGTTTTGAGAAATAATAGATAATTTTGTATAGGTATTTAATACTTTTCTTAAGTTTGTTAATAATTATTCATTTAAAGTGATACTTACTGATGAAAATAAAGTAATTTCTTAGGCAATAGAGATAACATTTAGACAAAATACTAAACATGTTTTATTATATGACATCTTTGGAAAAATGTCATCAAAAATATTGCTAATATTCTAGAAATAAAATAGTGGGAGTTCACTAAATCATTTTACGATTGCATAAGAGAATATGAAGTTAATAATTTTATAATTAAGTGGCAGCAACTTAAAGCAAATTTTCCAGATTCAAAATCATATTTAGAAAGAATGAATAAAATAAAAGAGAAATAGGCGTCTTGCTTTATCAGAAATACATTTTTAGCAGATATAACAAGTATACAGCATGACAAATCTATGAATAATTTAATGAAAGGTTATATAGATGCTTCTCATTCATTATTAGATTTTTTAAAAGCATTTGAATCAGCATTAGAGTAGCATGAAAATGATTTACAATTAGCTAAATATAAGCAAATTCACGAAATGTCACTTTTAAAACATTAAGTCTACTTGAATATCAGGCTTCAGAAATATTAACAAATTATGCATTAAAATTAACACAAGAACAGTTATTACAATCTACGAGTTATTTATGTGTTAAACTATTAGATTCAAAGTATGTTATATATTATAATATCTTTTTTTATTGTAATAATGTACTAATACTATAAAATGCATGATTTTTTTTAAAAAATAGAACTGAAACGATGCAAACTTATCAAATTTACCATTTTAATCATGAAGCCAAACCTGGAAGAAAAGTGATACATAATGGTAAAACAAATCATTTTGTATATTTTTGTAAATGCACTACCTTCTCAGAAATTATCTGCTGACATATTTTTCGTGTTGCAACACAAACTTAATTTAAATAATCTTCCAGAATCATTATTTTATAATCAATGGAGAAAAGATCCAAGTAATCTTGTTTTAATGCAAAATTTTCATTTATTTTGTAATAATATTCAATCTCCAAATGACAAAATTATTGAATGTGTTGAAGATTATGAATATTTGTTATCAAAAGTCTTTTATGAAATAAAAGGATTGGTAAAAAAGTACCCGGAAATAGCACAGGAATTTTATATTACAAACAATACATTATTACAAAATAGAATAAAAAGTGCAAATAATCAGAAAACTTGTAGAAGTACAACAAAAATTTAATTAGAAATCCCAGACTGCTACTAATAATTCAAAAAAAGAGGTATTTGTAATTGTTTTTTATAAATTAATTTTTATTAATGTGATTATATTATTAATACTAGTTTTACTATGTTAAATTAGAAAAAAAAAGTAAAGTAATGAATGACTTATCAAATAAAAAACGGAAAACAAGATCCAATAATAACAGTGGATTGTCATTACAAGAAAAAGAAAATATTCCCGAATATGATGATAAAAAAATGATATTAACGCATCTAGTTCAATATATAGGGTATTTCAGAATTTACCACAAATATCAGTGACGGAATTTGTCTTTTTTGCAACCAATCTTTGCCTAATCCTTTACCAAAAAAGTTGCTTGATTATTTGAAAATATTACAGAATAAAGGTATAAAAATAATAAAAATTTTCTCAATTTATCGTTACATATTTGTTTTTAGATAAATATTAGAAACTGATCGCTCGGAATTTTGTTTTATGCACTATGCAGAAACTGCAATTGTATAGTAATTATTTTTGACGTAAATAATCTGTTAATAAAAAAATTTTTTAATAGTAAAGTGTAATTCTTGCACGAAATAAATACATTATACATTTTTTAGTATTTTATTCTGTCTGTATTTTGTATATAAAATTCAGTACGAAATTTATTAACTTGTGCTACAAAAATATAACAATTTTGCCCAATCATCTGGACCATGGGATGCTCCAAATGATAAAATGACTATCGGTCATATGACCACTGGGATATAGTGACTTATTGCCAATTAATCGTTTATACTTTAACAAGCTGATTTATAAAACAAATTTTTTTTTTTTACAATCATTTACGATGTCTGAAGTGTCGGAAATATCCTAATATAGCAATTTTAGATAGTTGGATCATGTATTACCGTTACACTGATTTCGCCACATTTTTCGTAATTACTAATCCACTTGATGATTTAAACAGTTTTGTATAGATCTCCACAAGTAAAATCAAAAATACGAAAAATAACTTTCAATAAACACGGTTCTGTCAATAACTCTCACTCCTAAACAAACCCCACTTTTTTTACAATCCTGGCTCAGAACAAGATCACCTACCAAAGTGCAAGTAAAATCCAAGAGACGTATGACGTCTCAGTTGAAACATTGCGACGATGGGCCGACTCCGGAAGAATTGCTATTGTCAGGACACCTGGTGGAAAACGACTCACGCAAAAGGCAAAGATCTGCTACGCCACCGAAAATCTTCGACAGCACTACTCAGAATACGAAATTGTTGCCCTTCTGGAACGAATACACAAAGGAGAAATCGAGGAAGTGGTGGTTACCCGAAAGGTTTGAATTTTCTTTTTATTTACTTTGATTTATTGCCTTTATTATTTTATTATTTTACTAACTTTTTTATTAGGACCGATTGTGTAGATTTGGACTCGAGCTTGTGGAATGGATCTTTGAGAAAAATGGCACTCGGCTCGTGGTACTCGGTACGGATGTCAGTGCCGAAAGTAGTGAAGCCGCAGAAGACTTGCTCTCAATCGTCACGGTATTTGTGGCAAGACATAACGGAATGCGTTCCGCTGCCAACCGCAGAAAAAGACGAGAAGCTCAAGCCCAAGAAGATCAAGACACTGGCAGGCAAAACACAGCGTATCCGTCTCTTTCCTACACAAGAAGAGAAATTGAAACTCAAACGCTGGATGGGAACAGCACGATGGACTTACAATCGGTGTCTCGTAGCAGTCGAAAAAGAGGGTATCGCGCGAACAAAAAAAGCTCTGCGAGCACAGTGTCTCAACGCCGCAAATTTCAATAATACCGAACTTAAATGGGTCCTTGAAACCCCATATGATATTCGCGACGAAGGGATGAACGATTTACTTAAAGCATATTCAACAAATTTTGCTGCAAAACGGACGAAATTTAAGATAAAATTTCGCTCTAAGAAAGATCGACAACAATCTATTGCAGTTCTATCGAAACATTGGGGTAGATCAAAAGGAGTTTATGCATTTCTTTGTAAGATGAAAATCTTCCAGCAAAGCTCCATTACGATGCACGACTTGTAGTAAATCGGCTTGGAGAATTTTACCTTTGCATTCCTCAACCACTTGATATACGGGCCGAAAATCAAGGTCCTACACAATCAGAGGATGCAGTGATCGCTCTAGATCCGGGCGTACGGACATTTATGACTGGATACGATCCAAGTGGACAAGCTATAGAATGGGGTAAAAACGATATCAATAGAATTTACCGACTTTGCCACACTTATGACAAAATCCAAAGCAAGCATGACTCCCTTTATGACAAAGTACATAAACGAAAACGCTACAAGCTTCGCAAGGTCATGCTTCGTATACATAAAAAAATCCGCTGTCTTATTGATGATTGTCATCATAAATTTTCTAGTTGGTTATGTCAAAATTATCGTATCATTTTGTTACCTGAATTCAAGACGCAGGAAATGGTTAAGCGTGGAAAACGACGGATCCGTTCCAAGACTGCTCGGATGATGTTAACATGGTCACACTTTCGATTCCGTGCTCGTAACATACTTCTTCGCTACCTTACCCTGTTACATTCCAATCAAAACCAAGAGTCGGCTTATGCCGGCGCTGGGACCTACCTCCTGGGATCCTCCAGAACATGTATTTCCTTATTAGGCATGATCAGTAATGTGAGGTTTGATGAGGAATATATAGGTTTAATTGTAGGCGTTGGTTAAAATGATCGACATAGATCACGTGTTAGTGATTGTCGTATAATAATTAATCATCACGTGAAGTGAATAATTCTTGGAATCTTGAATCCTGCATGAATTCAATTGTCGAAAATGAAAACACGATCTATACTTCCTTCACAAATTAAAAATAAAATTAAAAGAGAAGAAATCCATGCCAAAACAAATCAGGATAAATCTCGCCGAAAAATGGAGCTTAGGCTTCAAAGGCGAAAGGAGGAAGCCGAAGATCCATCCAAAAAGGAGGTAAAAAAATTGTGAAGCAAAATTATTGTTTAATTGAAAAAAAAAGTTGATTACACAATTTGTATTTAATATAAAAATTGAATTGAATTTAGGAACGTTTAGCAAAGAATGTTCCTAAAACGCTTGAAAATACACGAGAATTCGATGAGACAATAGTAGAACCCGAAGATACAGAAATATTGGAAGATGAAAATTCAGATGAATTTTCTTTATATTTTAAAGAAGGAGTATCACCAAAATTGCTTATTACTACTAGTAAAAGGCCATCAAAATCTGTATATGAATTTGCTTCTGAATTAATTGATGTATTTCCAAATAGTAAATTTGTTAAAAGAGAAAATAAATTTTCTTTTAAACAAATTATTGAATTTTGTACGAATAGAGGTTATACAGATTTAATGGTCGTTAATGAAGATAAGAAAGTTCCAAGTAAGCAGATCTAAACTGTTTTTTTAAAAAAATATTAATCAATAAATCAAGTTTAAATTTATTTGAAAAAAAAAAAAATTTTTTTTTAGACGCTATTACTTTGATACATTTGCCCAATGGACCTACTGCATACTTCAAATTAACCAGTATTAAATTGAATCACAGTATTCAAGTATGAAACGCGTAATAATAAATTCCACTTAATTATTGTTCGAAACATTGATACAATGTGTATTTTTTTTTTTGTAGGGTCATGGAAGATCCTCGTGTTATAAACCTGAACTTATTCTAAACAATTTTAATACAAGATTGGGTCATACAATTGGAAGATGGCTCCAAGCATTATTTCCTCATGTTCCGGAATTTCAAGGAAGACAAGTTGCCACCTTTCATAATCAAAGAGATTTTATATTTTTTAGGCGTCATAGGTAGGCATTAAATCAAATCAAGTATTTTTACATATTTTTTCTATTTAACTTGCCTTTATTTATTTGTAGATATGTATTTAAGAGTAAGGATAAAGCAGAATTACAGGAACTAGGACCAAGATTTACATTAAAGCTTAAATGGTTACAAAATGGTACTTTTGATAAAAATGGAGAATATGAATGGATGTTTAAGGTGTGTATATATAATTTTCTTTTAAAAAAAATGGTTGAAATTATTAATTCATTTTTATTGAAATAGCCGGAATTGGAAACAAGCAGACGACGATTTTTCTTGTAATTTATTAAAAATTCCAATAATTGTTTAAAGATTTAAAATAAATTGATATTTTAAGATAATTTTTTAAAATTATCGGATTTGTGATATTTATATATATTAATAAAAATAGAAGGGCAAAAGCACAAGAAATCGATTGTATATACATTTGATATTCGCATTACCAAATAATTATTTTATATAGTTTTAGATCAAATCATTTAAATAAGGTTTTTATTTAAAATAAAAAAAAATTCTGTTTTTACATTGTACACATTCTATCATACAATAATAATACTACGTTTCTTATATATATTAATTTAAATATATATATATATATATATATTATATATATTCTCTAACAATGAGATAAAACGAGAGCAACTCTGCATGGAATATATACCTAAATAATAATAATAAAAAATTAACACTAAAAATTGACACTTACATAAGAATTCATTTAGTTGTTACCTGAATATGATTTTTCCTTCCATTCCATTCCTGTGGTTGGGAATAATATGATTGATTTTCATCAATTCTATCATGTCCACCAAATTTCTTACTATCAGAATTTAGAACAATTGAATATCTTCCTGCCCATTCAGTTCCAATCTTATAATCAGTAAAAGATTTAGTTGGGTGGAAATTAAAGATCCAAAGTAAATTTCCTCTTTCAAATGATATCAATTTGTCGTCTTCGTGTTTTAGAGAAATATATGCCTTTTTGAATATTCATAAAGTAAGTAAGGGAAAAAAACCTTCGAAAACTAAAAAATAAAGAAACTGTAATATCGTACAAGGTTTTTATTTACCTGAGGTGAGTTTAGCCATCCATATTTTTCCTCTAAATGTTGCATCGCTTTATCAAACTCATTCAAATATTTATATCTTAATAAAGAATCATCTACTACGTTCCACTGTCTTCTAGCATAATGAAATGAATTATTATTCCCTGCTCTTGGGAAATCCAACCACTCTGGGTGTCCAAATTCATTTCCTTCAAAATTTAGATAACCTTCACCGGCAAGGCCATGAGTAATCAAGCTAAATAATCGAAGATTATGGTTTAGAAGGTTGACAATGAAGAATTGTTAATTTGATCCATTAAATATACCGAATCAATTTGTGTAAAGCCAATCCTCGATCAATTATTGGAGTAAGTGGAGTCATATCCGACATATTTGTATACATTTCCTTGTCCATTAACCAGAAAGCAAGCGTCTTGTCACCGACAAGAGCCTGATCATGTGACTCGGCATAGGCTATAGTTTTTTCCTGACACCACAAAAAAAAATTGAGTCTTTTCTGTTCTAGAAAAAAGTAGTTTTTAAATACGCACCATATGTCTTCTGTTAGTCAATGTCCAACAAATGCTACCAAGGTCCCAATCATCATCACGCTTTTCTTTCAATAATTTAATCCACATATCAGGAACAGCCATGGCTAATCGGTAGTCAAAACCAAGCCCTCCCTCTTCTACAGGTCGACAAAGACCGGGCATTCCGGACACGTCTGAAATTTAAGTCAAATTTAACGTGTATTTGATATCAATTAAAAATAAATAAATAAATATATATATATACCTTCGGCAATTGTAATCATACGAGGATGAAGTTTATGAATCATCTCATTTGCCTTAACAATAAACAAAGTTTGTTAAATCAAATTTAAAAAAAAAGAATCATAAATTAAAGAATTCAAAAAATTTAACTCACCAACATTAAATAAACGATTCCTTCCTCATCTACAGTATCACCAAAATATTCGTGATAACCACCAGAGAAACCTGTTCCAATGCCATGATGACTATACATCATACTTGTTACCCCATCAAACCGAAATCCGTCAAACTTATATTCTTCCATATAGAAACGAAGGTTTGAAAGTAAAAATCGAAGCACTTCCCAATGACCATAATTGAACAAACGACTAATAATAAAGTAAAAATATATCATTAAATTCGTAAATACGTTTAGAAGCTTACATTGGAAGCATTTGAAATAATCACCTATCCCAGAGATCATGTCGTCCTTTTCCTCCTTCATGGAAATAGCAATGATCCGACCCATCAAACAAATTCAATCCATCAAGCACATTCTTACATGCATGAGAATGAACAATATCTAATAGTACATATATACCCATACCATGGGCGGTATCAATGAGTCGCATCAATGCCTCAGGTGTACCTATCAACAAACCCGTCAAGATTAAATATTAATTTATCGAAAATATTTATTTTATTAGCACAATTTCTTACCATAACGACTGGATGCAGCAAAAAAACTTGTCACTTGATATCCGAAGGATGCATAATATGCGTGTTCCATTATAGCCATCAATTGAATGGCATTATATCCCAAATTTTTGATGCGTTTCAAGACATTATCCGTGAACTCATCATAGGTTCCAACACGTGGTTCTGATGTAGAAATTCCGACTAAAACAAAAAAAAATCAATTTCATAAACTTTCATAAACTCCATATATAATCCGTGGTTATATATAACATACCATGAGCTTCATAAATTCGCAAACTATTTGGCTTTTTTGGGAGGACATTTTTCCATACATATTTTTGAGGTGGATTCCAAAAGATGGCATCATATGCAGGACTTACACTTAAGTCTTGAGTGACCCGTTTTATCCAAGCTGGAATACGATCGATTCGTTCACCTTCAGGTGTAGTCATAGAGATCTATTTTTTACGCGTTTATAATTAGTTTATAAAAAAGTGATAAGAAAACAGAGAAATAAAAAATTCATACTTTAATTTTAGAGCCATGAGGAATAGCAGCACAACCATTCTTGGCAGGGATACAAATTTCCCAGACACCAAAATTATTCTTTTTCATTTGGTGTTTAGAACTGTCCCAATCATCTAAAGGAAAGAAAACTCATTATTTTTTGCTGAATCTACAAAATAACAAAGAATAAAGAACTTACTAAAGTCGCCAATTAAACTTGCGGTCACGGCATTAGGTGCCCATTCGCGGTATAAAATTTCACCATTTAGCTGTACATTGAGGCCGAAATGTTCGTACCCACGTGTAAATTTTTCGAACCCGCCTTCATTTTGGTTTATTTCTCTTACCCACTTTTTATATGTGTCGTATCTTTAAAGTAATTTTAAAATTTAATTATTTTTTTTTTATAAAAAAAAAAAAAAGAGTTCGACACAAACCTGCGTTTTATTACCGGAACAAACGGTTTTAACCAAGGATCAATCTTACTTAGACCAATTTCTTCGTTAGAATAATTTCCTTGATTTTTCGTTTCTACCGGTGACATTATAAAATGAAAAAATGAAGTAAAAAGGAACTATGAAAAGTATCTATCTTGATATGAAAAATTTAAAGTTTATCGTATCCCCTATTTATATAATTAAATAAATATACCAAAAAAGTTAAATGGATAACGAATGATTATGTATGTGGGCGTTAACAAAAGGAATCGAACAAGAACACTTTAAAAAACAAGTAGAAATGGCGTTTTTTTTTTAAATTAAAAATTATATATATTATATTAAATTACTACAGTTATAGTAAGCGCGTCTCTCTTTAAATCTAACATATGGTGTTGGAACTTCACGTTAATCATGCTAAAATAAGGAATAACATGAGTTGTGAATTCACGTTCAAATCATATAACCATCATCATTTCATCATTTTTTTCACAACATAATGTGATAATCGACCCATGTTATTTGCTGGTTTTCTTTAGAATACTTCAAGTAACAGGCATCAATCGACCAAGAAAATCAATTAATTTACTTTAGATGTAAAAAATCAAACTATTAGTAAAACTCTTAAAAATTTCTTTTGATAAATTTTTGATGAGAATCGCGACAGAAGAAGAATTTATTGGGATATCAAATGATTTTTATATAAGGGGCATGCAATAAAAATGATCTCATCACATCACAATTATTTTACTTATCATTAAACGCATCTTTGAGATTTTATTTTATAACTTTTGAAGGTTAAAAAACCAAGGTAATAAGTTTCCAGATCACCTTTTTACTACTTCGACCATATGACATGATCAACAGATAATTGATTGGGTTACACGATTAAATGCTTATAACTTTAAAGTTATTAATGTATTTAAGATTCATATATACACTTTTGTAGTTTTTTTAATAAAAATATTTAACATTCAAAAACCCTCTCCATCAGGCCCACTCCAATCAAAATCTAACCATAATACGTGAAAAACCTCCCGTCATGTAGTACTTTCAGGAAAATTCTTCGGTCTAACCAAAGTTTATGTATGGCAGGTATTGTATTAAATGCATAGAATTTGGGTGCTGTTTCCTTTTCTGCACAATACGCGTGAATATCTACACCATATCTTTTGGCAAATTTCACCAATAACAACTTATCCTGAAATTCTCCAGACTGACCGTTTACTAAAACAGCAACATTATATTGTTGTTTTATATAATAAAAAAATATCCTGTTTTTGAACTTACAAATATAAGGAAAGCTTTCATTCAGTTCGCAAGAGAGTATAATTTTCAATATCTCGATCTTGTCCATAGTATCTTATATAATAATTCTTCAGTTCTTCAAGACCGATTTTCAATGTCAAGAGTGTGCGAGCTAATGATTCCATTGCATCCAAGTCATTCTTCATAAATAAAAGTGGAAGCAATAATCCATTATAAATTCTTTACCCAAAACAGCTCCAGTTATATCAAGATACTGTAAGGCCCAGAAGGAAGGCAGGGAATCATTTGAGTTTGAACTATTCGTTTTGCATAAGATGCATAAGCCTGTATTTATGCACAGCCGATCTCATTTTTATTTCTCCAAGTATCGCGAATGATAAATTTCTGACAGAGCCTATATCAGCTACTTGATGATTTTCAGGAAGGGCAGTTTTTCAACAGTAAGATATAATTAGATAACCACGAATTAAATTCGTTTTGTCTTTCAAGTCTGGGTTGTAAGAAGGCCAAGAAAGAACAGATGCTTTTTCAATTACGCTGAGCATCTCGTGAGGTATGTTTTGGATCATTATCTTGTTGGAAAACCAGCCGCAACTTCACGTTGTCATAAAGATGATCATCCAAGATTTTTCGACAAATGCCAATTTTTCCTTTAGCACTAAACATGGACCTTGAATGGATGCTTTACTATAGGAACAATTGGTCGCGCATTATGAGACCATGCACACATGGTATTTCTAAACATCTGGAATGTTGTTTTATTAAAAAATGTAATATGAATGATCATGTGACTAAGACAACCAAAAATCCTTCGCTTTTTGGGTTAAAAGAGGAACCTTTCTTGAAAGAACAGAAATATAACCAAGATTTTTAAGCTTATAACATATTTTATGTTCACTAATATCAAGGTTAGGATCATTTTTTTCCAATTTGACCTTAAGTTTACCTACTGTATATAGTAAAATGATTATGTTGCAAAATTTTTCCAATATGGCGGATATTGATTTAAAGCCAATTTTCTTGGATGGCCAGAAGAGTGACTGATTAAAATATTGCCAGTTTTATTTAGCAAAAATAACATATTATTTACATATGCACAAAGGAATGCACAAATTTCTTTTATATTATGCATTTTTTGATCCCAAAGTGACTTAATAGAATTTCATTATATTTCTAAAGAGCTTAACATAGTTTCAGAAATAAAATCAAAATAAAAACAAAAAACAAAACTTATTTTTTAATTTACCTTTTAAATTAGGATTCTAATGTCCAATTTGAAAATATAATAAATGCTTAAATCTGAAAGAATAAATCTGTAGCCTAAAAATAAATGCAGATTTACTATCATTCTTTTTGCCAAAAATTGTATATATGAAATACATGAAAGATTATAAGGGAATCGCCATCCTATCTCAGTTAGTAACAACTGAGATCCTATTGTAGGTAACGCTGCAATAGACTTAATTCAGCTCCTGATCAAAGCAGATCATAATAAATTAATTTATGGGATTTATCAGTTTGATTCTAGGAATAAATTTCATAGGATGCGTACAAATGATATATATTAAAAATTAGTGTTTAGACCTGGATTGATATCGGGTATAACAGATTGATTTGTTAGAAAAATTCCAATCCAGGTTAACACCCAATAACAAATTTTAAACTGGATACTAATCGGATCTAACCGTCATAATAACAGTTTTTTCTTTTCGTCTCATATAAACTTATTTTGCCAAAGAATGTTGCAGAATGGTAGAAATGTGGTTTAATTATTTATTTTTATAACATCAATTATTTACAACTAAATGTTTATACTTTTATTATAAATTTATATAAACACAAATGCCTAACATGTTGTGTAGCTATAATACTATCATACTAAGGTATTTTTTTTCAAAAACATTATTTTTTTGAACAATTTCAGCTTTATACGAGTTCTTTTATTCGTCATTAAGTTTTTAGCATCAGAAAAAAAGGCGTTTACTTGCAGTAGATGTTGTAGAAACTCCTAAATACTTTCGAGCAAGATGAGCTAAAATTGAAAATTGCTCTTTTGTTCATTTCATCATAATAGGAGATCCGAACATAAAGGAATTTCAGGTAACTGATAATATTCAACAATTTCATCGAATGCTACTATACTATCTTTGGTATTAAACTATTCCATTAAAGTTTTTCTCTTCTTTGCTAAAGATTTCAGTTGAGATTGTTTTAATACGCCAGTTTTATTTTGATAATTTTCTTTTTCTTGTTCAAATAGTTTAGAAAAGGTCTGTTTTGTATCAGTTTGTTATCTTTTGACATAAAATAAAGGTTTTTAAACCAAGGATCAAGAATAGAGAAGATTAGAGGTTCAGTGATCAGAGTAGGATAATATTTTTTCATATTTCTATATAATATTTTCTTAAGTTTGTTAAGTAAGCCAAAAGTACTAACGGGCTCATTAATATCTAAGATTTTGTTCTTCATTGTTTTCAAATACATCATCCTCTTATTAATCAATATTAAAGTCTTGATCATCTAATAAATTAGTTGATTCAATTCTAAGCGTTTTAATAATTTCTACTAACATTAGAATACATATACTATCTGTAACATAATTACTTTTATCTAGATCTTCTGTTGCATCTGAAAATTTCTGTTAAATCAGTAAGAAAATTCCATTTATGGTCTGAAATCATTATCTGCTTTAACCTTTTCGCATCTCTCTTTGAATCTGAATCTGTATTATTTGAAAAAGTATTTTGCAAAATTTTAATCCAACTTTTTAAATAAATTAAACGTGATCAAGCAAAATAGCTGAAATTCTAACGAATGAATATGTCATTAATCACTTGAAGGTATTTTGATGTGTCTTTAGCATTCTAAATCAAATTATTATCATTAAATATTATATTAATATTTTTTCAAAATTCTGAATATTAAATCATATTTAATAAATTTTTTATTAATATATCTTTATTTTATTAAATTATCATTATACATATTATACAAAATAATATCATTTGTTTATAATCTAATAGTTATATATTTATTTATTTTAAAAGATTAAATTCAATTTAAAAAAACTTATAATATATTCATTGGTTACCAAGCTTTCATTTTTATCTACATTTAGATATTTTTATGAATATCTTTCAAACGTTCTGATTGTTTAGGATGCGTGAAAAATTTGATTAGACGTTTAATCTTTACAATCAATGCTTTTATTAGAACCAATCCTTTTCCAATAATAAGTTGAAGAGTATGTGCATTACATGCTTTTCATTTGACTCCATCCATATTTAAAATTGCTTTCTTCATATTAATGGTATTGTCAGTAGTAATCATAAATAGCTTTTCACATAAATTCCATTCTGTTAAAGTTTCTTTCAAACTTTTAGCAATATGTTGGGTGGTATATGGATACTAAACATAATTCATAGTTAAAGTAACTTTATGTAATTCAAATTTAGTATTGATATATGAACAAGTGACACCAATATAACTTTGCCTTTTTCGTGCGATCCATATGTCTGTGGTCAATGATACACTTTTTGCTTCTATATTGATTTTTTCAATTAATGTCAGTAACATAGAGTTATACAGTAGTGGTCATAAGTATCTGACCGCCCGAGATTGTTCAAAATTACTATATAACTACTCCTTAAATTTTCCAGAAATATAATGTAATACAATACATGATCACCTGTAAATTTATAAGTGTCAATAATACAAAAAAAAAATTTAGATGATCATTAAACTTTCGCTTGAAAAATGGAACTTTTTTTAGAGAAACGATATGAAATTGTCTTTTTACGTGAGTCCCCAGCTGGTCCAAAGTTTAGTTTTGGATTTATTGCTAAGCAGGTACGTTGTAGTAAGTCTACAGTTATTTATTGGATTAAAAGATATCATAAAAATTGGGACGTAAATACTTCAAAAAGACCGGGGCGACCTTGTATAACATCCGCAAAACAAGATGATAAGATTGTAAAGATGACAGAGAAAGAACATAATATAACAGCCATTCAAATACAAGAAAAAATGGAAGAAAGAGGTGTTGGGATTAGTGTAGAA